CTCTCTCTCTGTGGCTCCCCCCACCAGTGCACTCTGCCCCTCCCCATCCTGCACATGTGTGCGTGTATGCTCTCTCTCTCTCTCCAAAAAGAAAAAGTCTAAAATAAGATGGAAGGAATTAAATTATACCAATGATCACAAAGCCTGTAAATGAACTAAACGCTCCATTTAAGAGATAAATTAAAAAGGTGGATTTCTTAAAAACCTGTCAATGTTATTTTTATAGGAAACATATCAAACATGAGGATACACATTGAATGGCAAATAATTTTTAAAAGGCATAAGGTAAATAGAAATTTGGTGTGGCTATATTTTTATCAGAAGTCCCTTTTTTGGGGCACAGAAAGCATAATCAGAGATAAGTATGATCACTTTGTATTAAAGCTTCATTCCCTAGGAAAATATATGCATTTAAATAAAGCAGCTTCAGGATATATAAAGCAAAAATCGACAAACTACAAGCAGAAGTGGACAGATCAGCTATTATAGGGGAGATTTGAACTTCTCTTAGAAATTCATAGATCAAGCGGATAGGAGTCTAGAAAATGTGGACAACACAATTAACCAGCTTGATCTAGTGACACATGGAGAGCGCTGTAGCCAACAACTCAAGATTCCATATTCTTTATACATATTCTTAAGCACCCATGGAACATTTAAAAATTAAGAACAACAAAATAGGTCCAAACAAAATATATGTTGGGAAAAAATAGAAATAAGCACAGAAATCTGTAAAACAGAAGACAAAGAAATTTCGCGAACACCAACAAAAAACATATGGCTGGGAGTGGCATGTAGTAGGCACTTGATAAACATCTATCTGTTCGATGAATAAAAAGCAATAGAAAACTACATGTGTGTACATGAAAAAGTTTGAAATTCACCAAATAGTGATGAAATCTGAGTTGGGCAGTTTTAGGTTATCCTGCTTTTACTCTTTGTTCTTTTCTGTATTTTCTGAGCTCTCTGTATATATTGCCCTTACAATTTTATGAAAACACATTATTTTAAAATAAAAACAAATAGATTTTTGAAGAGATGGGCTAGAGAGGATTAAACGTCCTTGCTGCCACCTCTGGTCAGTGGGGTGAGGCGGTGCAGTGTAAAGACTGGACTTTGGAGGTGCTTCACCCCTCACTACATGGGTGACTTTAAACATAATCCCTTTGAACCCATTCTCCAAAGTGGCAAAAAGAAAGCTTTCCTCAAAGAATTATTCAGATAGGTGACCCTGTGCAAAGCACTTAGTACAGTGTCTCATACTGTAGCTGTTCGATAGCCCTGTTCCTCTCCCTGCTTGAGGAAGCAGGCTTAGGGAAATATTTCTCCATTTCTGAGGAATGTACCCTGAGTGCAAGGCAAATTTGATCAGTTTGGAATATGAAACTGGATGAAAGCTTAGTATGTGAAATTATATTTGTGCCCTCCTGGAGAGCCAGGAAAATTAAGACACGAACCAAGAAATTCATCCCCTTTATTAGATGTAAGAATGAAGGTGCAGTATTATCATTTCCTTGTGATAGTCATATCTAATAGTTCTGAAACCAATTCACAGTTTTCATGTCAGACTTATTTTATGAGACATTTAACCATTGCTAAATTAAATTTCATAGGAGAATGTGCCTATATAACTCCTCTGGAGTTACAGAGATAGAAATCGGACCCATCATTTCTATTTTCACGGAAAACCATTTAGCAGAACTTTGCTCCAGTAGAAGTGTTTATTGAGTTGTAAGCCTAACACAGTTCATTGGCTGCATGTATTTCCACACTGACATTTTTCTCAGTGCAGATTTGCATCAGTTCATTAGTACTGACAGCAGATGGTAGCACTTTCACACAAATTTACCTTCTGAATTGATCTAAGAAATGTCACTAAAAAGATCCTGACAGTTTTGATGTTCTTCCATTTCTGAAAATGGTATGTTAAACAAATAAGGTGTAGGATTTTAGATTTTTTTGAACTCCAGCACATAATTCCTAAACCAAAAATGAAAGACGGCTTTCATCTCTGATTCTGGCTGTCTGAAGCCTGAGCCTTAAAAAATCCAGATAGCATGATCCTTAAAAAATCTCCATTGTAGAAAAATGGCTTTTGGAGAGTATTATCCAGATTGATTGTCTACACTAATCAGATGGCTCAAATTATTTGTAAATTCTCTACTTTGCTTTGAATACAAATTGCTTGGCTTGCAGAAGTAGTGGATTGAATGTGACCAGAAACATAGTATTGGCTCAGGTCATAAGGCTAACTTTGAATTCTGTCACTTCCGCAGAATTAAGATATCCCTAAGATTAGCCACATTTTAAAACTACAGATCCTTTTGCCATTAGTTAGGGTTAAGTCATTATAAAATTATCAGGCAGGAAAACTTAATATTTGCTAATTGAATGAATGCGGGTGTATATGAATTCTAATCACATTGGGGAAACTTTTTATTTTTCTACATTAAATAATCATTATTATATTCATAATAACTAAGGTCTGTATTCAGTAGTCTTACATATTTAGAAACAAGGATTTGGGGGTATTTTAAAAATTAATTTTCCATCTGTATTTGAAAAGTAATTAATGGTTTGGTTAATTTGCCACAACTAAGAGGAGCTGTTATATTTGAGAAAGCACTGGGTGTTGGCCATATACAGTTTAACCATGGAGGTGATTATGGATGTTTTTGACACATTGCTAGAAGAGTGGTCATGATTAACAACATACTTAAGGGATTTATTTAACAACAAGAAGGAGCTTTTGGGTTCCAAGTGCTCTCAAAATCAAGGGACCCTTTTTATTTTATTCATGGCACTTATTATTATTTGGATTATCTTGTTTCTTTATTTGTTCTATGTATTTATTGGCTGTCTCTTGCACTGGCATGTAAGTTCCATGGGATCAGGGACTTTATTTCTGAGATATAGTGATCTCTATTACTATATGCAGAACTGTTCCTGGCAGACATGTAAGAGATGATCAATAGATATGTGTTGAATTAATAAGCACTAGTTTGAGGCAGGTAAGAGGAGCCAGAATTAAGCCGGGCTGGAGGACTTGCCTTAGGCATAACACATTTGGTTTGTGACCCTAGGGTTGGCTTAGGGATAAACGGGAGGGGGTAGGGAAAGAGCAGGAAAGAGGGAGCCCAGGCTCTGCTGTAAGTCAGGCCACCGGGCAGACTCTGGAAGTGGCACTTGGGAGACATACACCAACCCACACCCAATGGATACCTCAACCCTCATCATGTATATGCATCCCCAAATCTCCACACCCAGTGTCTCCAATACATAGTGGAGGTGCCTCCAATTTCCTGTGAGTAGGTTTGTGCACATTCACACAGACGTGAGTGTTTTGGGGTTCGAGGCTAGAGTTAGCAGCAACAACCACATGTAATTCTTTCCAGGGATGCTCTGAGTTCAGCTCCTCCTTGGACCGGCTGAGAAGAGGAGAAGAAGCCAAGAGAAGTTAGGCCCCTAGTCCAAATCCAGCCAAGAGGCTTGTTTTATTTGGCCCAGTCTGTGTTTTTTTTTTTTTTTTTTAAGTGCCAAAATTTAAATTTAGGAAGTTTTACATAAAAATCTGGATTCCTAGGCTATTTTGACAAATGGGAAGACCTGGCACACGGAACCTGCATTCCCACATGGCACAATTGGCTGGAGCAGAGTAGCAATCATAGTCTTGGCTGAGAGCACCCTCTGGTCCCCCGTAGTCCCTGTCACTTGCTGGTGTATTCAACTGACCTTGCTCCTTCAGGTCACCTGCACAGTCTCTGTAGGCATTTGTCTTAGATTGCTTGGGAAGCTGTAACAAAATACCACAGACTGGGTAGTCTATAGACAACAGAAATGTATTTCTCACAATTCTGAAGTCTGAGCTCAGGGTGCCAGTCTGTTCTCATGAGGGCCCCCTTTCAGGTCACACACTTCTTGTTGTGACCTCACGTGGCAGAATGGGGTGAGCTAGCATTTGGAGGTCTCTAAGGTCCTAAATCTCATTCCTGAGGGCTCTACCCTCCTGACCTAATCACCTCCCAAAGGTCCCACCTCCTATAAGACCATCACCTTGGGCATTAGAATTTCAACATACGAATTCGGGGAGATACAAACATTTAGACCATAGCAGTATTTGCAGTTGCAGTCTTTGGCATAATGGCGAATCCACAATGTAAACGATCAATAAATTTATTGTCAATAATTGCTTTTGCGTCAGTACAATTTGTGCAAGGTCACTCCCTATAGGAAACCTCCTAGGGCTCCCCATTGTTTGACAAATGATGTGCATCTCCCTACCCTGGCAGCGAGCTGACCTGTATTTCTATGCAGTCATTCTCTTATAAAGGCAGTGGAATTCCAGCGAATGGGCTTTTGACTTCCAGAAACAGCCCTATAAGCTTGGGAAAGACAGAAGGATAGAAACAGATAAACAGAGGAACTCAGGAAGACAGACAGACAGACAGAAGTACAACAATTTAAATAATGCAGGCCATTCTCCTGCCTCATCCCCCTGCCATTCTACCCATGGAACATGTGCCTCTTGGCACTGCAGTCAGGCTTGAAACAATCAACATAGTGGCCAAGTTTCTGCAAAAAAGTGTGCGAAAGATTTTGTTCCCCTTGCAAAGAGGTGAATGAAATATGTTGTTCAAATGGTCAGGCTTTTGGGCTTTGCAGACATCCCTGAGGAAAAACTGGGGAATAATTATAAGCCGAAGGGAAACACCAGTTGACAACGAATTCGAGGGAACTGATACAATGGATCTATAATTCGTATCGTGTAAACAAAACCGTGTACCCTCCTCCCCTTGAATGTACTGCTTTATCAATTTGTAACTCCTTCTCTTCAGCTTTTTCTCATGTTTGGATTATGAATTATATTTCAAAACTGAAAGTGATCTGTATCTTAATTTAGTAACTTGGACAAACTTTTATTTTAACAAACCAGATTGTGTGTTTTAACTTTTTCAAAGTAATTCACACTGGCAATCCCGGACCAACTCTGATTTTTACAGGAGCATCCAATACTTGGGCAACCCTTTTTTGTACTTCATCCCTGCAAGACGAATGAATTCATGACTCCTGTATTAAAGAATTCTCGAAAAATCAATAGGTAAGAAACATCATCAAGATACGTTGGCTTTTACTCTTATTTTAAAAATGTAAATCTTTTTATGTGACTCTAAAACCTAAGCTAAAAAAGAAATATTTTTTGTAATAATAGTAATGGCTAACAGTTATTGATTTTTACTGTGTGCTAGGCACAGTTCTAAGTATTTTAGATAATATTAATACGTTGGATTTTTATAACACCCCATGAGCTAAGTTCCATTATTTTACCCAGTTTACAGAGGAGAAAGCTAAAGCACAGAGAGGTTAAATGACTTGGCCAAGTTCACACAACTTGTTCAGTGGTAGAACTGGGATTTGAACCTGGGCATTTTCGCCTAAGAGCCATGCTCTTAACCACTACACTCTGCTACCTTAGCAAATGCCGTAAATTTTAAGTGTCAAATTGGAATCATCAAGAGGAGTCAGGAGCCTTAATGTCTTGACTCCCCCATTAACTACCTCAGTCTCTTTGGACCTCAAGTCCATGTCAGGCAATGGAGCTGACATTTGGAAATGCTGGGATTCCACGTGGTGGGCACACACCTTTGAAGACAGCTCATCTCTTCTGTTGGTAGTGATTTTCTACCACTCATCCAACATTAGAATTGCCTGTATTTTCACTTGTTTCCTAGGAGTGTCAATTATATCACGTCATGGCTGAGCATTGTAGGGCCAGTTGTTGGGCTAAATCTACCTCTGAGTTATGCCAGAACAGCCTCTCAGGATGAATGAAATGTCACTTGACAAGGTAAAAAGGAAAGCCTGCACTGAATGTTTTGCTATTATAAAGATCCTGTTGTCTCTGTTGTACTTGGGGTCCCTACTGGCCCCATCACATATTAAGTCTTCTTTCATCTTTAATAGACTGAATATGAACTGTTTGTTTAGGTTTCCAACCAACCAGTGCCCAAGCATTTGGGAAGCATTGGACTTTGCTATAATAACACTCACCCAACTACAGGAGTGGATGACTTTATTTCAGAATTGTTATTCTTGAAATAAGTCTTTACTGTTCAGTTAACCTCCTTTTATTCTCTTAGCTTTTGTTTTGTTCTTGTTCTTATTTTCTTCTATTGAGCCAAAGACCTAGAAATTGCGGCATGAAGAACACCAAAAGTGTACCTGGCCAGCTCTGGTTTTAATAGGATAAATACCGTGCGATAGTTCAACTCACCAAGATTTTGACATGGATTTATTTTTCCATTGGAAGCAAATGTCTGCAGTAACTGCTATGCTGTATCCCTCATCTGGAAGAATTGTTGGTTTGGAGTTGCTTGCTTTGTTTTTCATTTTATCTTGCCAGGGGCTGAAACTAAGACAAAAATGTAGTTGTCTCTTTAAAGAATCTAGATTAGTGTCTATCGATGAGGGATGTATTTTAGGGTCACCTGAGGATCTTTTATGATTCAAGTGCTGGGGTCCACCTCCTGCAATAGCCTCTCTGGGGTAGTTCTGACACACCTGCTTCTGGAGAACCTCTGGTCTGGATGTACCTTTAGTGTGGTATTTATTTGTTTTGTTTTGGTCTCCCAACAGGCCTTTTCCAATTCTGTGTGTCACTCCAACAAGCTGTACTTACTTTCTAACATTTGTCTGGGCATTGCCCTGAGCCTCCTGGTTATTAAGAATATCCAGGAGACGTGTGTTCACGAGGCAGGCCACTCAGAGGAAGTGGTCAGGGAGAAGGGGTTATCGGCTAGCCAATTACAGAAGACAGTGCCCGCACTTTTAGTCTGTAGGTTCGGGGCTGAGCTCTCACACATGGAGCAGAAGTAGAGAACGGGTTAATTCAAACTGCTAGAAAAGCTAAAAGTAAATTTTAAAATGCTGAGCTGCACATATTCATGCTGGGATGAGAGCCTGCTTACATGCTTGCTGGGCATTTTGGTATTTACCACTTAACATCTTTTCAACTTCTGCAGGGATTTCCACCCCCCCCATGTAAACACAGATTTCTCAGCAAGTCATTTCTCAGACCATGTCATTTCTCGAGTAAAAAAAAAACAATAAATTATAATAATGTGTCATCTGGATGATGTACTTGTCTGGAAATAATAGTTATCCTTTGCTAACAGATTCTGAGATGATAGTAGTCAATCACTGTAGGGACAGTGTGTAGGTTTTTTTTTGGTGTTGGTGTTGTTGTTTTTAAATTAATTTTTTTTCTCTGATTGATGAAGACCTTAAAATTCATCAGTAGCAAGAAAAAGTCCTGAAAAGCTCTCATAGGTTCTAGAGACCTCCCTCCTCAGATAGATCCCTCTCCTCAGGCCGCTCTGTTTCTTTTCAGAATATTTGGCACTTAAAAAAAACCCACACATTTAATTTTTGGTTGACAAAAATTTCCATTTTTTAAGAATGCAGCTATATAACAGACTGTTATCCCAACAGTTATAAAACATTAGAAAATATTTTGTTTTCTCAAAGTAACGGTTCTTACTCTGCAATACGAGGATTTTCCCTCCGGGTTTCTTCTCCAGTTAATATAATGCAAAACCCTTTCAATCAGAAATAAGGCTGGTTAAAGCTGCTTCCAGCCAATATCCTAAACTCTGCTTTTGTGTAGGCTTGGAAAACTTACTTCACCTCTTTGGTCCTCAGCTGTGTGATTTGTGAGAACAATTGCAATTCTCGGGTCTGTGAAATCGAAGTGTAGAGATCTAGACTGAGTTTGGTTAGCTGCTAGCTGCGTGACTTGGGCTAATTTTCCTAATCTTCTTTAGTCTTTTACCATTTCTGTTTGAAGAGTCCCGTAATATCCACCCCCCTCACCTAACCAGATCAGGGAGGAGATCAAAATGGTAAGTCAACCTGAATGTGCTTCATAACCTGCACAATGCCATATGGAGAGAGAGGCGTGAGGGATAATTGGCCCCAGCTCCTGCCCAGCACCAGCACACCTTCTCCCTCCCACCTCATTTCAGGCCTGATTCCTCCCGACACGCATGGGCCCCACCTCCTTATCTGACTGTTGTTCATGCTGGCTCCCACCTGGAAATGCTTCCTTCTCCATCTCTCTACTCAATTCCCAACCTACTCTATAAAATTCACTCTTACAAAGCCATCTCTGACCACCACAGCCACCACTGGTCAGCCTCTCCTTTCATTATTTACTATACTTAGTCATATTAGCATTTCATTGTCTCCCTTCACTCTGATTTCTTCCTCTCCTTAATGATGGGTAGTAAGTACTGACCCAATTTTTTTTTTTTTTTTTTTTTTTTTGGTATGTTATAAAGGTGGCATGCACAGAAGAGTTGCTGTCTGTCCCTTGGAAGTGATCCAGGGAAGTAAGGCTCTCAGTCCAAGGATTCAAGTGGGTGGGTGAGAGGCCGTGTTGACCATTTGGTACTAGCTTACAGACCGGGAGCTAAAAAAACAAAGTTAACCATCCTCCTAACACAGATGTATTAGAATAAAGAGGAAGAAAGGATGTTAAAACTGGATTTTTCCATCCATTTTTCCTGAGAATAGGTATAGTTCTTCATGCTCTCAAGATATGAGGAAATGGAGGTCTGCACTGTCACAACCAGCTCTTACATAATTCAGAGCTGATATTCCAGTGAGTTGGGTTTTTTATTTTTTTATGATTAAAATATGAGAGTAAGAATATGCAAATAATTCACTCCACCAGCTACCTATTGAGTTCCTCTTACATACTGAGCCCTAGGCTAGCTGCCAGGGATGGTAAGTGGAAAGACATAACCCTGGCTCATAAGAATGCCACAGTCCAATGGAAAGACAGACAAGAAGATTCAGGGACAGAGGGATGTGTGCTGTGGCAAAGGTGTGCAAAGGAAGCACCTAGGAAGATTTGTAAAAGAGGAATGTGAGTGGAGTCGTGAAAACCTTAGGATTTAGCCAGGTCGAGAATGTAGGAAAGACCTTGAAAATGCATAGGGAAGTGGTCAAGGGTGAGGCTGGCTAGCAGGACTGGGGCTAGGTCTGGAGAAGATCGATTGCCACACTGAGAATTTGTATTTGGTCTAAAAACCAGAAGGAGCCGCTGAGGGAATTCAGGTAGAGGAGGTGAAGTGATCACATTTGCATTTTAGAAAGATCCTATATTTTTAAAATGACTATTGCATGTAACTAATCACACATACACTGTCAATTTTTTCACCAGCAGGTTCTAGCCCACAGGCTTTAGAAGGTACGAGTGCAGAAAGGGCTGGGAGTATGCCAAGGACATTTTTCAATTTTCGCCCAGGGCCTTCCAAAACAAAACTTATCAGTGTCCTGAAAAGCCTGGCTGTGTTACCTGGGGCAAGTCACTCCACCTCTCTGAGACTCTCTTTGCTAATGTATTAAATAGAAGGAAGTGTATTAAATCAAGTAAAATCCAGTTATTAGTTTATGACCTATATATATATATGTTTATGAAATAGAATATGTCTGGGAAACGCTCCCTGTGTGTCTTCTTTATTCTCACACTACACACACAACACTACTGACTCTAGATGTGTGGATTTTTCACACAACAAACAATTCTGCAGTACCAGCTGGGGTCCTGCAATTCAGTTCTGACACTATCAATCTGGAGTTTAGGATCAAAGCCTGTAAGTTAAGACCTAAGTCCCACAAGACTGCCCCACTTTAAGACCCCAGTCACAAGTCCCAGATTATCACCTGTGTTTCTAACTGACCAACTATGAACCAGGGTTACCATGACCCCCTCCTTGCGTTCATTAATTTGCTAGAATGGCTCGTAGCATTTACGGAAACACTTATGTTTACCGGTTTATTATATAACAAAGGTATGTTAAAGAATACAGATGAATACCCAGATGAAGAGCTACATAGGGCAAGATCCAGAGGGTCCCAAGAACAGGAGCTTCTGTCCCCATGGAGTTGGGATGTACCACCCTCCTGGCATATAGATGTGTTCACCAGCCTGGAAGCTCTCTGAACCTCGGACTTTGGGGATTTATGCAAGTGTAATCACATAGGCATGAATGGTCATTAACTCTACTTCTAGCCCCTCCTCTCCCTTCCTGGAGGATGGGGGACAGGGCTGAAAGTCCCAAGCTTCTAATCAGAGCTAGGTCTTTCTGAAGCTATTCAAGAGCCCACCAAGAGTCACCTGCTTAGAACAAAAGACACTCCCATCACCCAGGAAATTCCAAGGGATTTAGGAGCTCTGTCAGGAACCAGAATCAAAGGCCAGGTATTATAGAAGAGATGCTCCTCATGCTCTTATCACTTAGGAAATTAGAAAGTTTTTAGGAGCTCTATACCAGGAACTGGGGGCAGAGGGCAGAGACCAACATGTGTATGTTCTATTATTTTACAAATACATGGGGGAAAAGCACATAATAAGGATATTATTTTCTGAAACTTTGGTTTCAGATATATATATAATCTGTTTATATGGGTGTGTATGTATTTGCACATGTGCATACTAGGTGGTGATGTAAATATATTTCTAACTCCAGGGAACAGGGATTTGAAAACTGATGGACAAATAAGCTGCCTTTCAATTCTGAGACCCTTTGATTCCCCCCTATTTTACTGCTGGCCAGTAAGTTGCTGAGGGTTGTTCTAGAAGGATATAGGCAGTACTTAACTACTATTGTGCCCATGGCACTGAGATACTTAAATATGCACGTAGGTCCTTTTATAGGGCTTGTCTATAAAAATGCTTTCACATTTTTATCCTTAAATGCTGTGGTGGTCTTTCAAGCAGTACTGTAACGTAAAGTCCTTGCTTTTAACTTTTGTATTGTCAGTAGCAACACCTAGTGGTAAAAGAGCCCAATTGCAAGTATCCTGTTTTCTAGACTATTAAAACTGAAAGTGATTTTAGAGATCACCAAGTCCCATTTGTAAATTATTAAAAACAAACTGGAAACTCACATTTTTTTCCTTACACTGAAATATACTTTACATGAGAATAAATAAAGCCTCTGGTTGCATTATGATTTCTTGGATTTCTTTGAAGCTTTTCAAATACCCAGAAATCACTGTTACAACTGAGGCAAAAATTTAAGCATACCCTGATAGGTTAACCTGGAAATCATAGTTCAGGATATGGTGCAGCCTTTGGTGCATTGTTATTTACACCTGCATGCCAGATCTTCCGCGTTTAGCATGATGCCTGGCACGTGGTGATACTCAGTTTACTATCTTTGTGGGATGTTTGTATATGTGGCTGAAGACTGAGCACAGGGAAAGATCTCATGATCTTTCTGCAGGCACCAGGCACTGGACTTGCTTTCCTCTTTGAGAACTGTGACCCACTCTTTCCTTTGAGAAGATTCTGTTGCCTGATAGAGAGGTGGAGTGGGAGGTGGTCTCCTCTACCCCCTTCTTCAATAGATTCAGAGAGAATAGCCAGGCCCTTACCTGCTTATTAATAGGGAAATGGCTAAATCAAACGTGATGGCAGTTAAGGGGAATGGCAGTTAAGGGGAATGAATTCAGTCTCCAAATAGGAAGTTCTCATAAATAGATTGTTGAGTTAAAACAGAAACTAGATGATAAATATGCATGCAACTTAACACTATTTATATAAAAAATACACCAGTGCCACACATTTTCTATAGTACATATTCAGTATATGTATGTGAAAACATTAAAAATGATCTAGAAGGACACACCAAATTTGTAAGAGAGGTTACCTCAGAGAGTGGAGAGTGGGAACTTGGATTGGAAGAAATCAAAGATGTTGGCTCTTTCTGTAATGCTACATTTATCTAGCCGAAGACTGTGAAACTAAAATTCATTTTTAGAAAAGATTTTAGTCCTCATAGATAACTTGGAAGCCACAGAAACATTTGAAGGAGAAAATTTTAAATGTGCTTAAGTGTAAATCACCCATGGATAACTGCAGTTAAATTTTTGATGTATTTCTTCATACTAGTTTAAACATTTAATTAGGATCATTCCATATATGGTTTTCATTATGATTTTTCCCACTTAACATCATATTGGCAGCATTTTCCCATGTCATGTGGTTCTTTGAAAAAATAACTTAAAATGACTAGTAATCTTCTATATCAAAATGTCCCAACTAATTCTCCTGTTGTTGGACTTTTAGGTTGTTTCTAATTCTTCACTGTTTAATTAGTATACATTCATTGAGCACTCAACCTCTTATGTGGTCAGGACCTGTGCTAGGGAGATAGTGGTCCGTAAGGTAGACATAGCCCCTCTCTCAGAGAGCTTTCAGAATGTAATGCAGTGAGAAATGTGTGCAGAAACAGTTGCTCACATTTGGTTTCTTTAGGTTATACTGTTACTAAGGGAATGAACAGATCAAAGGATATGGAGTGTCTTAAGACCTCTGACTCATGTCACTAAATTGTTCACCAGTAAGGCTATAGGGATTTATATTCACAGCAGTAGTCTGTATTTTACCATATCCTAAAATCTTTGAAAATAATTTTATTTTCCTTTGCTTTTATTATGGAATTGATCATTTTCCTCTTCATGTCTTGGTAAAATTTGCATGGATTCTCACCTTTGTTTCTTCCCGATATCTATGCATTTCTCAGTGCTGCTAGAGTTAGTTTTCCAGCTTCTTTATTGTCCATTTTATTGCCCCAAATGTCTGTTTTTTCTGTATCAGAGCAGACTGTCCATATATTGTTCTGTTACAACCAGAAAGCCTAGAGTTAAACAAATAACAATTACAGTTAACAATGTAACTTTAAAAAAATATTATGGAAAATCTTATACGTACTCAAAAGTAAACAGTATAATGGACCCTCATATACTTACACATCAGAATCTGTAATTACCAAGATTTTTGCCATATTTGCTTCATTTAACCTTAACTTTATATTTGCATAAATAAAGAAAATTGCAGATATTATATTTGTTTTTACAGGTGCATACTAAATATTTTTCATTTGATCTATTCTGACAAGTTTTACTTCAGTTTTAGATGTTAAAACATCTTTGGGTTCTTGTCCTCTGCTGCTTCTCCTGAGGTGGCGCTTTGCACCCTCTTTTGGATTATGCCTTTGCCAGTGACATTGGGGAACTTTCCTCTAAAATGGCCTACTCTTGAATCCTCTTACACTGCTGGTGGGAATGCAAGCTGGTGCAGCCACTCTGGAAAACAGTATGGAGGTTCCTCAAGAAGATAAAAATAGAGCTACCCTACAACCCAGCAATTGCACTACTGGGTATTTACCCTAAAGATACAAATGTAGTGATCCGAAGGGGCACGTGCACCCCGATGTTTATAGCAGCAATGTCCACAATAGCCAAACTGTGGAAAGAGCCGAGATGTCCATCGACAGATGAATAAAGAAGATGTGGTTCATGTATACAATGGAATATTACTCAGCCATAAGAAAGGATGAATACCTACCATTTACATCAACGTGGATGGAATTGGAGAGTATTATGCTGAGCGAAAGAAGTCAATCACACACACACAAATATGCAGGCACACATGCATACATATTATGTCATGGGCAAGAAAAAGAAGAGTATAGTGGCAGAAAAAAACCTACCTAATTATAAACACTAAAAAATGTATAAAATACTGAAGGGACAAAATCAATTACTGCATATAGAATTAAAAGGGTTGGAAAAAAAAACTGGGAACCTAAAGAGGGGGAAAGTGGTCCTACTTACCTGCAAATGTACAGAAAACAGCACCTGAAGCTGTCAAACTATATAGAAAAAAGTATAAAGACTTAAAATAAGCATGGATAAATTCACAAAGCTGATGGGGAAAAATGATATGACAGAACAATCTATTTCATATCACTGTTTCCAAAGCAGGTGTTGATGGACAAAACATGTTTCAACAAGTAATGTTTCTCTCAACTGTTCTCAGCAGTGACTGAGATGAAATATTATTTAAAATGTGGTTTCCTGGGGCACCTGGGTGGCTCAGTCATTAAGCATCTGCCTTCGGCTCAGGTCATGGTCCCAGGGTCCTGGTATCGAGCCCTGAATCGGGCTCCCAGCTCGGCGGGAAGCCTCCTTCTCCCTCTCCCAATCCCCCTGCTTGTGTTCCCTCTCTTGCTGTCTCTCCCTCTGTCAAATAAATAAATAAAATTAAAAAATAAATAAATAAAATGTGGTTTCCTTTGCCCACTATTGTACGATTTAAACATTAGCTGATTGGTAAAAAAGGTAAGGAAGCATAATAATGTTTTCATTAGCATCTAAACTTATTTGAAAATTTGGGTATGTTCAATCTTTTTCTTTTTAAAGGAAATCTTTTTTTTTTTTTTTAAGATTTTATTTATTTGACACACAGAGAGAGATAGAGAGCACAAGCAGGGGGAGCGGCAGGCAGAGCGAGGAGAAGCAGGCTCTCTGCTGAGCAAGGAGCCCGATACAGGGCTCAATCCCAGGACCCTGGGATCGTGACCTGAGCCGAAGGCAGCCGCTTAACCGACTGAGCCACCCAGGCGCCCCGGGTATGTTCAATCTGTCCTACACTTTTAGCCCAGCCAAGTAATTTGACCTCTTGTTGTTTCTAATGAACCACAGCAAAAGAGATTTTAGAAAGTTAGACTTAAAAAAAACAAAACAAAACAAAAATTACTCATTGTGAGTAAAGAACAGAATTCATGTCAATAACTTATTACCACAAATAATCAAGCAGATCACTGGAAGGTACTTCTCTGGAAGCTGTGAAGGGGTGATCCGGGGCCATGATTTCCTCCTCTCCCTCCTAAGAGAGCAGCTCTCCTTGGCACTCAAATTGCTGTTTGAAAGCTTCAGGTTGTCTGGGAAGCAGAATGTGTTACAGGAAGGGATCTTGATGGTGCTCATTATATCTGACTAAAGGTCCAAGGTTCTGTGTGTGAGGGGGCCCCTTCATTTTTGAAGATACACACCACATATTAAAGGCTTGATTGACAACCTGAATGAGGCGGCGACTGTGCATGTGCAGATTTGGAAATGTTATCTGTGGCTCATGAGTCCCTTCAAATGTGTCACTCTAAAAATGACTTTCTCGGGGCACCTGGGTGGCTCAGTCGTTAAGCATCTGCCTTCAGCTCAGGTCATGATCTCAGGGTCCTGAGATTGAGCCCTGCATCAGGCTCCCTGCTTGCAAATCTGCTTCTCCCTCTGCCTGCCGCTCCCCCTGCTGTGTTCTGTTTCAAATAAATAAATAAAATCTTTAAAAAACTAAAAAAAGTTTAAAAAAATAAATAAAAATGACTTTCTCCTATGAGACAGTTTATGCCCCAAAACATACAATTTTAATGTTTTAATGCTTTGGCCTAGAACCCCTGTGGTCATGTTTTCCTGATAATAAGGTTTAAAATCCACTTTTCTTCCTCACATACTAACAAACATAGTAACATCACTTTACCAAATAATATGGAGAGGAATTGTGCTAGAAACTAAGAATGCTCAGTACAACCTGCCAAGACAATCCCCCAACTATAATGTCATAAGAATTGTGAGCTAATATTTGAGTGATCCATTTAAACAGATTTTATAGGCTAAAATAACAATTTTACAAGCCACTGTTAGTGAAAAATTTATAGCAATATGGTAATTTATGATCTTGGCCTCTTTTCTTGACTGTGCAAAGCCAATAAAGAAACATTAGCTACTTGGACAACCTTGAAACAGACTCCAGGAGTGTTATCCACAGCATGACCATTATGACCAAATCCTGCCACCAGATATCTTCCTAGAATGAAACAAAGGAAATTCATGTATTTTTTAACAGGACCATTTGTTCCCTTACTTTTGAGATTAGAAAGTTCTTTATGTACTTTTGATACGTTTGTTGTTGGATGTATGATTTGCAAATATTTTTGTCTAGTCTGTGGTTTGTATTTTCATCCTAAGATCTTTCAGAGTAAAATTTTTAAAAAGTCCAATATATCTTTTTGTTTTTTTGTGGAATGTACTTTTGGTGTATTGTCTAAAAGCTCTTCACCTGTTAAGTCATGAAGATACTCTGTTTTCTTCTACAAGTTTTATAGCTGTACATTTTATTCAGATACTATGATCCATTTTGAATTAATTTCTGTATAAGGTGTGAGATTTAGGTTGAGGTCCATTCTTTTTTGCAAATTAAACTTTAATTAAAATTAAACGATACTATTTATTGTAAAAACTATGCTTCCTCCGTTGAATTGCTTTTGTCTCTGTCAAAAGTCAGTTGATCTTACCTGTATAAGTCTGTTTATGGATTCTATTTTATTTATCTGTGTCTGCCCCTCCTTCAATACCACACCCTCTTGTGTGTAGCTACAAATTAAGTCTTATTACCAAGTTTTGTGATTCTTCCACCTTTTATTCTTCATTTTCAGTATTGTTTTAGCTATTCTAGTTCCTTTGCCTTTTCATATTAAATTTTAGAATTAGCTTTTTTTTTTTAAAGATTTTATTTATCTGAGAGAGCCAGAGAGCACACAAGCAGGGGAGTATCAGAGGGAGAGGAAGCAGGCTCCCCGCTGTGCAAGGAGCCCGATGTGGGACTCCATCCTAGGACCCGGGGATCATGACCTGAGCCGAAGGCAGACACTTAACCAACTGAGCCACCCAGGCGCCCCTAACTTTTCTATAAGAAAAAAACCATCTGCTGGAATTTTGCTTGTATTTTGCACCTAGGTGTCTCATTTCTCCCACCCTACAGCCTCCATGTGCAGTTGGGCACAGCCCAGGGCTGGGCACACACTTAATGCTGGATCAGGATCCAAGAAGGGACAACTTCTGTCACAAGGTGGTGGGGGATGGGGGCAGAATGAGCCATGAGGCAGATTTGTTTCAAAAACTTCAGGGTTTGGGGCATCAGAGGTGGATCTGTGTCAATCTATCAGTCACTTAGCTATAGGACCGGCATCCAGGGTGCACCCAGCAGAGAAGTGTGAGCCACTGTCACAGGTCATAACTCCCAGGTGTGTTGTTCTCTACAGGTTTGGCTGAGGTCTCAACAGGGCAGGAAACAGGACATACTGTAGAGGGGTGGGTGGGTGTTGGTGCCACCCCATCCTTTAGCCCTGCCTTCTCCCCCCTGCATGGTCAGGCAGCACCTCCTAGCTCCCCACACTGCACCTGACCCACAGCTGACCCCTGGGGATGGAATCTTGTGGCCCTTGGTCGCCTCTTGTGGTTCAGGCCCTGGTAGGGGTAGTGCGAGACCCAGAGATCTATTGGGTTGGGTCAGCTATGGCCATCCAAAAGCATCTGGTCAGCCTTTGAGAATGACTTAACCAATACCTGTTCAACTACATACACTAGTAAGCCCTGGAATAGAAATCAGTAACAGCCCATCTTATTACCAGTATAAATTATCAAATTAACATGTATCTCGTAAATTTATACAATGTTGTATGTCAGGGCGCCTGGTTGGCTCAGTCGGTTAAGCAACTGCCTTTGGCTCAGGTCATGATCCCGGGGTCCTGGGATGGAGCCCCACATTGGGCCTCCCCTGCTCACTTTGCGGGGAGCCTGCTTCTTCCTCTCCCTGCCACTCCTGCCTGTGCTCTCAAATAAAATCTTAAAAAAAAAAGTTCTATGTCAGACTTTGTATTTCAATTAAAACAAAAGCCACTTTCCATCCTTGTGGAAAGACAAATCACAACAATCATTCGTGGCAAGAATAAGCACAAGTGTGACATGTTTGGGGATCAGTGAGGTCTGAGATGGAAGCAGCAGGCGGCATGAGATACCTCCTGAAACTGCATGGGGAATGCCAAGTTTGAGCAAGGGAGAGATCAGTATTACTGGAGTAGGTTAAGGACCAGACAAAACACAGATCTCCTGTGCTGTGGAAAGGATCATGGTCTTGACCTTATGGGAAATGGAAAGCCAAAGAATTTCCATTTTCCAAGATCCTAAAACATAACCTAACACTAGGCTTTGATCAAAGAGCAA